ATTAATTCTTAAAAATTGGCTTAATTTGACTAAACTTATCAATTTTATTTTGATTAGTCCTCTGGGAGCTGTGTTTTTACGTGGTAGGCAGAGCAGATTGTGAAAGAGAGGTTGTCACAAAAAGTAGATTATTGGGAGTTGGGGATCTTGGATTCTATTCTTGATTCTGTCACTGACTCACTGTGCAAGCCTCCGAAAAACTGCATGAGTCACTGCAGTCTCTGCCTCATTTACACTTCCTATAAAAGCAAGAATTACTTATATCATGCCCAGTGTTTGACAGTTTCCTTTGCATCGCCTCCTTCCCCTGTGTCATGTTTAAGCTCCTGAAGTAATTTCCAGTAACGTACAAAATTGTACCAGATTTTGCCTCAATTCTCTATGTAGGGTCTGTGGATGCGGCTGTCGTTGTTAATAAGTGCCATAATATAACAGACCATAAGATATTAGGAATTTAATTCATTTAATACCTTCATTCATCTACACCTAAATTCGTCTTTACTTTGAGGCCTATATGCTATCAGACTTTTTTAAAGGATCCTTTAAATTAAATCACCAAGATTTCCAGGCACTTCTAAGCTGAGTAGTGTAGCTCTGTTTCTATTTCTTATTTCCCCAGTTTGTGTCCTGCTGTTTGTTACCCATATGCCACATCACATTTAAGAGCAATAGGTTCTTAAAGACTGAAGCTTTTTTGTTTGTTTGTTTGAAAGCATTTTTGTAGCCTACAGAAATTACAGGTGGACAGCACAATGCTGTGTTTTATTTTGGTTCACCTGCTCATGCTATTATTTCAGATGATTCTGAGTGCTTCTCTGGTGGTATTTCACGAAAACAAGATGTAGTCTTAAGGAATATGAATCTTAATTTTAGTTTTTTGCTAAACTTCATGCTGCATGTCATGGTAACTCAAAATACTTTGAAGAATTTCCTTTTCTTTTAAGTATTTTCAGTCTCTTTAACGTGTTTGCAAGCCTTTCTATACCCCAAATACAAAAAGGAATGGTACATGGAAAATGAAATTATTGAAAAACATTTCTGGAGAGCCTATGGCCAAATAAACTTCATTTGAGGAGAAGCTGAGATTTGTAGAGTGTGGCTGAGCTGAAGAAAAACTGTTAGTTGAGTAACACTTTGCTTTGTTTTTTTCTTGACTGGCAATTACTTGATCTTAGTAGGACACCCAAGACTGCATAAATAAAGTATATTTAACTAGAAAGGCTGTGCGTCTGTGTGCATGCATTTTGTGTCTAAAAATAGTTTTCTTTGAACAGGATTCAATTTTGGCTTGGCCTGCTTCACTTTGAACATGGAGCAGAACTCCATGTGGAAATACTAATGTCCTTTTATTGGCCAGCTCAAATTCCCCCTGCTTGGCACTGTTTTGTTTCAACTCTTCACTACCCTGTACTTCCATGTAGTCAGCAGCAATATATGTAAATTACTTCTGGGCATTAAGGAATAAAGAATAGATGGCTTAGAAAATGACTGTAAAATTTTAGTATTTTTCCTATAAAAGTAGTTTTGAACTATGCCTAATTTTTCCAACTTATTTTACTAATTATTATCTGCTTACCTTTGCTTAATTTTAAGTTTAACAGAAAAATTATGGAGGTAATAGTTTTTAAAACCTGATCTTTAGTATGTCAGGTTTTGTTCCATAGGAGTCCTTTTCTCTTTCTAACAGAAGAATATGGCATTGAATAACGTGAAAATCACGTCCTAATACAACAAAAATAATGCTACTGCCAAATAAACAGAACAGAGACTCCTCTACACTGTTACTCTACTACTCAAGAATGCTGACACACAATTATACAGTGACTTTTCATTTGGAACAGCTCAGACCAGTAAGAAGCTTTGAGGAAAACAAGCATACGTGATCTTGTCTGTATGTTATGCTCGCTTTGCATTGGTCACCAAGAGGCATATGCTAATGTGACAAGTGAGGCAAAAATCTGCATTTACATCCATCCGTCTTTGTGGAGTGTATGATAAGTGCCAGACTGCTGCCTCTGGAAGAGAATACTCTTTCCTGCTAACCAAGCGTTAAGAAATGCGAAAATGAAAACAGCAAATCTGTGAAGAGATGATACCAGTTCTTTAGTTTTGCTCTTAGGTTTTCAAAAGGTATCTGGAACTTACTTTAGAGTTTCAACCACAGTAGTAATAAAAGGATGATTGAGAAGATGGCTGCTACTCTTTAATAATAATAATAATAAATAATAATAATAACTTTAATATTCAGCACTTAATAGGTAAACGTTTCCCACTTTTAAAGGAGTATGTGATGCACCTAGATCAAACTCATTTGGGTAGGGCTTTTAAGTTTCAAGCTAGTTCTAAAACTGGCACCTCATATAATTACTGTTATTTTTTTATTAATTAAATGCAACTATTTTAGTTTCATAAATTTTGAATTAGAAGACAGAAGATGATGTGTAGCTAGCTGGCACAAATAAATGCCTTCCTGTTGGCATCTCCCTTCAGGATTTTTTGTTCCAATTGCTGATTGACAGCACAGATTTCCCCAGGTAAATTTTGGTTTTATTTACATAACAGCAGAGACAAAGCTATTTAGAAAGATGAAAACAAATTGTAATACGGGGTCTGGAGATGGGGAAAGGAGGAATAGAACAGCAAGACTATTCTGTACTGACCAGTCACAGTGGTGTCTGAGACTGTGGTTCAAATCTCTGATCCTGTTCTGTCAGATGTCTCACTTATCTTCAGCAGCAGGAGTGTTAATACAGGGTATGTGCACAGATGTGTATAGTTACGGAGGTGTTGAGCAATTTTCAGCAGGCTGTACAGATAAAGTAGCACCTAGCAGTTCTGAAGGAAGCATAGTTGAAATGGCACTATCATTCAATAAAAGGGTATTTTAGTTATAATGAGGTAGTTGCATGAAAGCAAGGTATTTGTGCCAGTGTCATACTATTGAATAATGGAATTACTGGGCTAAGCTTGCTCATAGGCGTGCAGCGTTTACTTGTCTCTCTGCTTTCACTAAAACTTAACTACTTTCTTTGCTGTATGTGGCTGAGGCTTTTGTGCCTCTGTGCTCAAAGTATCCTCCCTCTATATATACGTATGTACATTATTTTTTTCCCCTATGTGGAGGGATATGAAGGCTGCATTAGCTGTTTTTCATATGTTCCTCTTGCGCTGCGGCTGTATGAGTTGATCTCTGATGTTGCTCCAAAGCACCAGGCCGCAGATGATGTTAACTTTGGTTCTCAGCAGTTACAAAGCCAGCTTTTCAAATCCCATCAACAAAATCTTGGAGAACAGTCTTTTGATACCTCTTTAGTGAAAGTCATTAGTTAAAGATCACAGGCATTATGCTTTAAATCTCCTTGGTGTTCCCAGTTCTCAGGCCTATGTAGGCCTGTCTGTACTGCATAAATGTTAAAAGATTTAGCTTGGTTAGTCCCAACATCTCTCGCATCTACAGCAACTTCACTTGGGGTTGCCTGGAATTAGCCCTAAATAATGGGTAGCGTAGGCCTGCAGACTGTAACTTAATTATATAATCAATTTGTCTTCATAATGAACATCTAAATTTCTGACCTGTTTTGTAATGTAAAAGTACTGAAGCTTCAAGAAGGGCTTCTGGTCTAAATTCCAATACTGTGTTCTTTTTTTGTAACTGCAGCATATCTGGGAAAAAAGCCTGCCTTGCCCTTGCCCTTGCCCCAGAAAAATAAAGGTTCTATTTTAGCTTACCAGTCTATGGTATTAATTCATGATGGGAAGCTATTTCTGGTTGTACATATGATTATTTCCTTTAGCTGAACTTTACATTTTTATTATTTATGTGTCCTTATTTGGTCTACTTTAATACAGTTATACTGCTCTTTATAGCAAATGGTGGTGGTATCTGATGTAGAGACCTCGGCCATATTAATTATAGCAGCTATTGGTAAGCACTGGCTGTTTGCCAGGTAAAATGAGTAAGAAAGATCTAATTGTTAGACAAAACAATGAGACCCATGAAGAATATGGTGGGGCTTTAGTAAGTCTCTTAATCTGAAATTCTCTTTACTCATCGAAAAGCTCAGTTAGCAGATCACTGGTTTTGGTGGAGATGAGCATTTTATATACATACATGTCCTATTGCAATTTGTAAGAGAACAGAAAATAGGAGATACTGTGCTCCCTTTAACCTTTCCTTTTCCAATGTAACTGGTTCTTAACCACACTTAGGCGAGTAGGTTTTTACAGATGTTGTTACTGATGGCACTGCTTCCTGTCTGTTAACTGCTTGCTTTGTCAAGCGTGCTGGAATGTGCACAGAATGTGCACCCTCTCTATTGAATTTTGCCCCAGTATGTGTGCCTATAGCAGTGTACAGTAGCCAGAGGATTAGTTTAGCTGTTTGCAAGCTTCCCTGTTACTAATCCTCACCTCTGCTTTGCAGAATATCTTCATGTCCGGTAGGTTTACAGGTGTGTAGAGCCCTTGGATGTTTTTACCTTTTTATATTCTCCTTTGCCAGTAAGCATGAATATTATTCTTTTTTGGAGAATATCCTACTTGTTTGGATTTTTTTTTTCCACTGAATAATTAAGTTCTACAGTTTGATAACTATTAACGTTGGATTATTGCAGGCTAAAGAATTTCCCTTCTACTTTATGTTGTATAGTTTAATCCTTTTTGAAAGGGATTTACTAAATTGCAAGTAGGAGAGCTACTGCTTTTGTAACTTTTTCCAAAAACTTTCTGCTGCTTCAGTAATGAGATTGTCACCATAGCAAACCCAGCTGAGGAAGGAATGACCCTCAGGACACCACCCGGCTGCCCAGCCGAGAACTGAACCAAATGGCTAAGGAAAAAGCTGGGAATATTGATCAGTGTGTTACACTGGCAACTGGATTATCAAACTGGTCATCCTTGCATCAGGATTTTTTTTGTCCTTTATATTTTTCATTTGATTCATTAGAACCTATGAAAGTTAACAAAAGAAATCCTTTGAAATTCTGTTTTGTCTTCAACAGTGCCCTTAAAGATAGTCGTTTCCCCCCAATGACGAGGGATGAGCTGCCACGGCTTTTCTGCTCAGTGTCTCTACTCACTAACTTTGAAGATGTATGTGACTACATGGACTGGGAGGTAAGGATGTCGGATATCTTAAGAAAATTACTTTGATGCCATGAACATCTATAGCACAAGTCACAGCATTTAAATTATCTGCAGGTATTTAGCATAGCAGTCAGAGTTTTGTGCTCTATACACATTGTTTTGTGCATAGATTTTGGTAGGACTGTCATCACCGTAAAAATCTAAGTCATGAACATAGAATAAAGTTGTCTTCTTGTCCACATATGCAGTCCCAAGTAGGATTGGGCTGCACGGCCGAGGCTCCATCAAGCAAGGACTTATCTGAGTGATGTGTCCTGAGACATCTTTTGCAGCACAGGGAACTGCTGAAACAGGGTGATTCAGCCCAGTGATTCTGGACAGAGGACATCCCACTATGAAAGTTAGGAGTTTGTATGCTTCTGGAAACAAGCACTGCAAAAAATGGCAATCCCCAAACAAGCTGCCTTATTTAGCTTGCAGGAGTGAGGCGGTTGGTTATCTTTCCCAAAACTTTCTTTGCTTTTAGAGCAAGTGGCCTGCACAGACTCCACAAAGCCCTTGTACGACGAGGCCAAGTAAATCACTGCTTTTGTTTTTCTTTGCCACTTACACATGGAGCTGAATGTGTTTTAATTGTTAAGTTTTAGGAAACCTGCATTCATTCTCTTGGAGCAGCAGCATAAAAGAGCTTAAGAAGCCAATGCTGCTTTTAGAGTTATTTCTGGGAAGGTATACTGAAGCAAGAACACAGGTATCCTGTGTTCTCCTGCTTTTTCCCAAATTATGTGGTATTAGACACTTGCAAAAAACAAGTTATTTGCCTTAAGATGAACAGAAGTTCATCTCAGTCAGTGTGACTGTTGTGTTGCTGTTTGTATTTGAGTGGACATAACAAAAAATTGAAATTGTCATATATAGTAGCAGATGTTTCAATGCCAGAGACACCCCACAAGTTGCAGTATTTCCCTTTAATAATCACTTAGCTCTACTAAATAATTACAGTTTCTTAAGAGAAAAAGAGGCTTTCTGTTGTATTCACACATAACAAATGTACATGGAATAGAAATTCCATTTGTTGTTAACACGGTCAGAGGCCCTACTGTGTCAGAATGGTGGTATCCAGCAGTAACCTCAGCATTATGAATTTTACAATAACTGAAAATGTAATAGAAATGTGTTTCCTGTTCAACTCATAATGACAAGGGCTTCTACCTTCTGATGTGTAGTTCTGCATGAGATGAATGTAAGTTTCCTTTGGGGTTTATCAGCATTTTCACCATAAACAGAAACTATTAGGTTTTTATGTAATGTCAGACCAAAAAATAAACCTTAGCTGAAAATATGTGTGCATTTGCAACAAGAAGCTTTTCTTAGAGTAGTAGTTTATCTTGTCACTGAGCCCTTTGAGTTCCTTAAATAATGTTTTCAAGTAATCAAAACTGTAGTGACTTTTAATACTAAACCAAGCTAGAAATCAAAACTAAAACTGGTAGGATTTTTCTGCTCTTCTAGATTGACTTCTGGTAGTACCCATAGTGGTGTTTCAATTTAACTTCAATTAATTTATTCAAAATCAGACTATGAATACACTCAGAAAATGTCACTTTAAAAGTGTGAAACGCATAATGAAATAGTGTATAGCTCTTCCCATGTGGTAATCTATAAGTATTATTAGATGCTGTTTTGTTCTCTCGATAACAAACTTCTGAGATGACCAAAATATTCATCCTTTAGGAGAAGCTGAATCCAAAGCCTGTGTTAAAAAATCCTATCTCCCTTGGAAAGTCTGATTTGAACTTTGCTCCTTGAGAGGTTTCTGATTCACAACTTTAATACCTGTATGAAACAAAGGAGGCTTTTACTGTCGATGTCCTTTTTGTATCTTGTTGCACAATCCTCGAAACTTCAGCAACAGTGTGAAAATGCAGAACTTTCATCTTGCTTGGGTCTCATTGATTTTGTGGAGTCTCACAATTCTTCTTATTGACATATGAGAGAAGTATGGAGGGGTCAAAAATATAATAGTCCTTGTGTTATCCATTTGCTTAGTTCTTCTCCCATTTCATTAAGTTTTTTTTAATGGTAGGTTTTAAAAACCTTTAGCAAATTCCTAGGAATGCTAAGAAATGGTCACAAAGTAGGTTCCGTGATTATTCTTTTTCTTCTTTTTTCCTATGAGGTAAACGTGCTTTTGTATCTCATACAGTTGCAGATGATCCCCAAGCTTTCCATGCAAAAGGGACAAGGGTGTGTGTATAAATAAGAGAAAGTAATTCTTAGTCCTCAAAAGAATGATTCATCGCTGTTTGTGCCCCTGTCAGTGAGACAGCTTATGGCATCTGTGTTTCTGGTAAGGAAGCTACAGTTATGCAATATTAATGGCAAAAAGACATTTCAGGATGTCTAGGGTATGACGTCAAGAGAGATTCTGCATCTTCTGTCTCATAAAATGCTGATTTCCAGATCATCCTGAAAAACATCAGCCTTGTTAGGAGAGCTGACTTCTGTAGGTAAAATGCTGCTGATTCTGTTGTGGGAGCCAACTCAGCAATTTGCTGACAGAGGTCACAGTATTTCCAAATTGCTGAATCAGACAACTCACGATGCTCTGGTGGCTTAGAGACATTGAGGATCATTTGAAGACACAGTCAGGAGTGTCTCCTGTATCCTGAAACAGAGTGATAGATCTTCTTTTCTCTGGTTAATGAATTCTTCTCCCAAACTAAATAAATTGATATTTCAGTTGTAAAAAGTAACGTGAGATCCTTTTGCAGCATCAAATAGGAGACAGGAGTGAATTGACTGCTATGAGCTCCCATATGATTCTTCAAACTGCTGCCATTTTCACCTTTTACAAAAAGAACAAGGAGAAAGTACAAACCTTTAAAGGACCACTTCAGTGCCATGGTTCATGAGGATGCTTCCTAAAATATAATTCAGCATTCTTACTTACACGTGACTCTATATGAATTGCAGTGAGCTTTAGTAGTTGAACAGATGCAGGGCTTTGAAATGAGCTCTGAGACTGCATGAACTCTCTCTTCATTTCTGCCAGGCAGAGCCCATGAAATGCTGCTGGGCTCCAGTTGCTGCTGGGTTGGAGTTTCACCACCTTTCCATCACAAAAAAAATGTGTAACAAGAAACTTGAAGATAGGTTTCTTTTTTTTTTATAGTACTGCTTTTTTGTTAAAGATAAGGTATCAAAGAATACCTGGGAGACAAATCATACAATTATTTTTAAACACATTTGATATTGATAGCAGTCATTCCTTCCCCATATCAGCTTTATTTTCCTTCTTCTTAAGCTCATCTTTTTGATCCATCCTGTCTTGTCTTTCCTGCACAAATGTGAATTCCTGCCTCAAGATGCATCCAATTCTGCTGTTGATTATCAATGCAGCTACACTTGCATCTGGTGTTACACTTAGCCAGCAGCACCTCCCAGGGAGGAATGGAGAAGAGTTTGAATAGGTCACTGTGAAGTATCATGGCTTTGGGTCCTTTAGAAAGAATTTATCTGGTTTGTGAAGCTTGTAAGTCTGTGATCTGGGCAAAGCAGCCTACCCTCGGAAGGTCCTGAGAGTGGATTCGGCTCTCACAAATAAGATGTGGTCATCTTGTAGGTCTTACATTTCTAGCTTTGGTGCTACAGGCTTGCCTCCTTGAGGTGATTTTTTTCCCTAGAAATAGAGAAGAGCAAAGCAAAGCGCTTCATTGCCTCTCTGTTTCACGTTATAACAAATCAACATCTTTTAAATTTATTTTCTTGTTAATTTAATTAAGAATCTGTGAAGGTTTCTGTTAGATGGTAAAGGCTATCTTGCTAATTCAGACCCTCTCATGATTTTTTTATTAAAACATCATAAAACATTGTGATTGTAATGTAATTGTAATGAGAAACATTTTGGAAAACCTTATTTAAATTCCAACAGGGTAATAAATGACTAGAATTGACCGGTGGCTCTTCCTTAAAATAGCTTGAGAGAGATCTTTGCCCTGAGGTTGCTGTTCTTCACTAATGTAAAATCTGCAGAACGGTACACGCTTCCTGTGCTGATACAAAGGCCTTTGGCCCATATGCACTGGATTAAATATTAGCTTAAGTAGTGGTAGCCAATCATGAAAGGTGGCTCTGCACTGTTGGACAAAGTCAGGACATTCAGGCGCTGTGGAAATTCTTTCCTTCCTGCAAGTGCGGCGGCACCAGCAAATCTTGCAGCTTTTATTCCTTAGAATAGAGGAGAAAGAGTCTTGGTCTCAGTATTTTACTCTCTTTGGGCAATATTCAGTGATTCCATGTGTGTAAATAAATGATTCGTTAAAAAAAGAAAGCTTGTCATGAAGCAGAGAGCATATCTCCTGAGCGGTCTTTACTTCTCTTGTTAAATCAGAATTTAATCTTTAAGCCCTACTAAAGATGATCAGACAGAAACAAGCATATTTGCTGCAAATGTGAGGCTAAAAAGCTGTAGAATTCAGCTAATAAAACTGGGGTCAGCTTCTTATGAGTAGCAATAGTCGCTTAATCTGAAGTGTGTCATTTCCATACTGCTAGTTAGGTAAATAAAGGGGGAGGTTACCGTGTTACATGGAATACTGCCCAAGTTATCTGCTTCAATGGATTTCTGAAAAAAAATGTTTGCAATTAATTAATCTTAAACTGATTAGTGGTAATTGCATGCAAATCTCTTACAGGTTTCAGTGCAGCAGATAAACTAAGCAGAATGATTATTTGATGAGAGTTTATGCCACAGTGGACTAGAAGCTTAAATTTCAACAAGGCTTGATGTTTTAAATGCTTAGCCAAATTCCATGGTGATAGGCTAATGAGAACAATGTTGTTTCATCCTCTCAGTATGGTTGGAGAGTCAGTACAAGAGGAACAGATTTGTGAACTGGGTTTGGAAATTTGAGTTGGAGCAGTTGGACATGGGAGTTGCTTGAACTTTGGTTTGGGGTGAATTTTGGAACAGGTTTTTCTTAGCCCAGCTGAGATAGATCTGGGGAGAGCACCATTATGGGCAGAAATCTTGAGAGTGCCTGTAGCACCTGACACAGCAATAAATGTGGTGTGTGCATGTTTTTCCCCATCCTGAGGTTTATGTATATAAATGAAAAAAGATAAATTTAAAAAAAAAAGCATATAAATGAATATGAATGTGTATAAATACACAACAGAGTCTGAAGTTCTGTTGAGGTCACTTGAGAAGTAAAATAAAAAATGTAGTTTAATGCAATCCTTTGATTTAGTGAAGGACTGTGTTTTTAATTGCCACTGGACCTAGTTTTAGATGGCCAGATCCAGAAGTACTGGATACATAGTATGTCATGCTCTAAAACCCTGCAGAAATATTTCTCTTGGAGGGGATTGCTTTGTTGCTGTTGTAAGTCTCTCCTTATCTCACTCCTCTCCCACAGTAGCAAGTCTAAACAGACTTTCCCTCTGTTTGAGGCTGATCCAGCAATTGCGTGGTCTTTTTGCAGCTCAGGAGGACACCTGGAGGTTGTCCTTTCCCTCCCAAACGGCAATAGATGAGGCAGACCTTAAACTCCACCTGCAGAAGAAGATGGTTGGGGTTGTTTTTCTGAATGCACAGGTGTTGGTATTCCACAAAAGCTTGCCTGTAGTGTATCAGTATTTCAGTTTGATGAGCACACTGTAGGTTTTGTATGAAGTTCTGTGCTAAGCCTGGTAGGCAGGCCCCAATTCCAGCCCACTTCATGCCTTCCAAACACACACCTACCCCTTGCCTCCCCCAGATAGGAATATTTGGGGAAACTTCACAAAGTTTTCATCAATGCAAGAACATTGGTCTCTTCAGGAAGTCAAAATAAATTCCTCACTGTGCCCATGCCAATCTTGGCATGGATCATTCTTATTTTGCTTGTGTGTGGCTTCTATTTATTCAACTCAGGCCTGAATTTTTGTTTAACTGGAGCTAACCAATGCAAAGCCAGTTGTACTGCACTAAGAGTACTGCTCAGCTACGCAGCTGGAGTTCACGCTTCGCAGAATGCTGTGAAATATTCCCAGCCAGAGGAACGGTGGGTGCAATTGTGTTGCCTTATTCATTTTGCTCTGCATCTTTTTCTTCTACAGACATGGGCCTAAAAGTCCATTAAAATGGTTAATGGGAAAGATCCAGTGCAATGCAGTTACCTACTGCTCGAATGTTGTGCGATACTTAATCCCTCCCTGGTGCTTCTGGTTAGTTTCTCGTGAATACTATGTGGTCGCTGTTGTGTAGAATTTAGATTCTAATATTCTGCAGGATGCGAAGGTGTGCAAAACCTGAAAATATTTCACCTTAGTGCTTAGGCAATTGAATAGAGTTAACAAAATCACCCACTGCTAAAACTTACTCTGTTCCTGGAATAAACTTGGTAGGCTCATGCCAGCTCCTAACACCATTTCATTTCACTTTCAGGCCCTTTGGGTTCATAATTACATCATCGGAGGGTACAGATTTGATTTGTCCAGCGATTATATATCCATGTTAAGACAGTTAGGAGTGTTTGGTCACGAAACACCACGTTAAAATCTGCAGTGAATTAAATTTGTGAGTCTCAAAGTAATTTTTCCTGTTTAAGAAATTTGAGGTCCGTGAGGGAAAATTGTTGAGGCCATGGCCAGCCACAAGAGAGACGACTCCTCCCATTTCCCTATGCTTTTATCATATATAAAGATTAAAAAATAAAGTCTTAATATAAGCAAATGTATTAATTGAACAAGTGGTAGATGTTTGTAAATATTCCTTATTTGTTTTCTGACTGTTACAGTAAAATAGGTTGTCACTGGAAAAACTGTTACAGCACTTTTCAATGAATTTTGTGTCCAAAAAGAAGTGCCCTACCCAGTAACATGATACCCTTTTAAACATAAACTATTCATGTCCACAGACAATGATGGGAACTTTGGATTTAAATGGAAATAACATCCAAAGTTATGTGGGCATGGCAATAAAAATGTCCGTCTACTACTGCTTTGTGTTTGCACGCACAACAAAAAGGCAACTGAAAACTTTGTGGCCGTGGAATATCTTCTATGGCATGGCCTGATCTGAGTGCAAGTACTCAACAGAACTATTGTACCTTGAAAACAAGGATGCTTAAACAACGCCCTGCAAAGGTGCCCAGTCTCATTTTCTAGTTTTTTAAATTTTTTCTGGCCGTTCATATGTCTGACTCCTTGGTATTAGTGATTTTGGTTTCCACACTGGCATTTTGTCGTATTAGAGTACTTCCTTGCATGGAAATAGGAGTTTGAAGCCGAATGCTTTGGAGTATCTCGCTTTCCTTATCATACATCAGCAGAAATCAGGAAGGCTCCAGGCTCGAGTTGGTAGTGTGACCAATCTTACATTGTTCAGTTGTTACTTTGAACAAAATTAGTGTTTTTAAGTGAAGCATCATTAGATTTGCCAGCTCTGTGGTTGCCCGCAGATTGTATCTGGTGACCAGGTGATTTTATCAGCAACACCATTGCTGCCAGTGCTGTAAGGTGAACACCTTTCAGAAAGATTAACTTCCCTTCAGTGCCACTTCTTGAAACTTTGCAGAATGGTATTAACCACTGAAAGGTTCATATTTTGGGTTTTCTCATGTTAGAAATGTCTTGTATCTTTTTTCTTTTAACGTACTAATAAAGCTGCTGATTTCTTGCAGGTGGGTGTACATGGCATTAGAATAGAATTCATCAATGAAAAAGGATCAAAACGCACCGCCACCTACTTACCGGAGGTTGCAAAGGAGCAAGGTCATTGTTGCACTTTATTTCATATGATCTGGTGAAGAATTTAAACATGCATATAAATCTAAAATGCAATATTTGACCTTGCACTGATGTCAGATGATGGAGCAATATTTAATTGTAAGAAGACTCTTATATAAAATGCCAATTACATGCCTGTATAAGTCCCCTTATAGGGATTCAGTAACTGTAGCTGTTGTTTAAACAAGTCATAAATGCAGTGTAGCTGTCAGAAAATAAAATACAGAGGGGGGTACAGGGCTGTCAGCCAACTTTTGCCGTTGTTAAATGTTGCCAGCTTTCACATGGTTGTTATGCTGCGGTGTTGGTGACAGGCACAAGCTCTGTTAAGTGAGGGGATGTGATTTATTCCTAGATTTGCAATTATGAAGGGTTTTTTTCAGTTAGGTACTCTCTGCTAGTGCCTAATTCCTTTTATAAACACTGCCTGCCTGGGTTTTTTGATAGATGGAAGGGAACTGTTTTCAATATGAAAGTCCAAAAATAATGCTGCTCAGGTCCCTCTTAATATGACTTCAGTTTGTGAATTAAAAAAGTGGTAGTCGATTTTGTTGAATAGAAATCTTTTGGACTAAGCAGCTGACTATGGCAACTCACGATGGGGTTGGGTTTTCCCCACGCTTGACAGTGGGTTTCAATCTTTTACATTTTGTATTGCTGTTTTTTTTTGTCTTTTTATATTTGAGTTGTCTACTAAGGAATAGGATAAAGTCTTTACTGAGGATCATCTTTAATTGATAATTCTTTTTCCAAATAGTCCAAAAGTTGAGAGGCTTTCCAGGACATAAGGTGGGTGAGTTAGAGAAGTGGGTTTTTGTCAGGACCTTTGGTGATCACTTCCACAAGTTAGTTTGGTTTTTTTTTTAAGTCAGGAATTGAACAGGGATTGTGTGTTTTAATTTCTTTCTAGTTATGGTAGACCATGCTTTGAAATTTGACTCTTTAAAGTACCCAGAATTACCCACTTGTGTTTTTTATGTACCCTAAACTAGCCTTGTGTGGTTGTTTTAATGTAACAGTGTGACTAATCTAATTGCATCTTTTGGAAATGAAATGTCTTGCAGCTACTTAAAATGTTAGGTTTTTTAAATCAATAAATAGGAGTTTTGAATAATGTGAAGATTTTATTGAGAACAAGAATGAATCTGTGTTTTTAATAATCACTTTTTTATTACCCAGCTGCCTATAATATAATATAGGAGTTCTGAAACTAAAAATATCACTGTAAAGTTAAGTGACATTTATGGAGAAGTCTAATCTGTGAAGTTCTCTGCATATGTTCAACTAATAATTCTTTTAAATTCTATTTTATAGATAAATTTAATTCTCATACTGCCATAGCCATCTGTGGTGTGATTGTGATACACCATCGTACCTGGATGTTTCAGAAAAGCTTAATTTTGTATCTTAGTGTCTAGGACACCTGATATAGTGGGTCTACTTTTAAAATATTTCAACTACGAGAGAAAAACGTATGTTGTTTGTAGGGCAAACTGTGTGTAAAGAAATCCTAGACATGGCATTTCCTTCAGCTGTTGTTGAGTAGGGAAGAATGCTCTGTTTTAGACAGAGCTTAGCACAGCACTTTAATTTTCACTGTAGCACTACATAACGTGCAGGGTTGTTACAACAACTGCACTTACTGCTCTATTTCTCACCGATCTTTACTGCTGTACAATTCAACAGGATGGGACCACATTCAAACCATAGATTCCTTATTGAGGAAAGGAGGCTACAAAGCTCCGATCACAAATGAATTCAGGAAAACAATAAAGCTAACCAGGTATGCCCCGCGGGATCCTACAGATAAGTCCTTTTTTGTGCTTTAGTGCTAGGTTCCTTCCTGGTAAGTGCTTATTTTAGATGTTCATTATAAGCTTTCCTGTATATATTATTAATGATTTCTTTATTTCCACAATAGCAATACAGACTTTTGATCTGTGCCTTGCATAGTGGTTAGTGGCACCAAGCAAGAAAGAATAGGCTGCTGTTAAGTATCAGGCTACATATATATATATATATCAGGGCACCTGCAGATTTTGTTTTACAATGCTGAAAACACCACGTATCTCGGCGACGTAGCCAATTTGAGAGTCCATGTGCCAGTTAAACTCTGTCAGAGTATGCTCAGGAGTGAAGATGTGAACTTAGTATTTTATTTCATACTCTCTCACTCTTGCACACGAGTGTATTTTGATTTTGCTAATTTAATAAAATGTGTTCTCGAGGGTTTCTTAGTGGCTGAGAGCCAAAATATTTTAGAATTAGCAGCAGATATTCTGCCCATACTATTGTAGTTACATGGTGAGAGGTGGAGGAGTAAATGTCTATACAAACGCCTCTAAAATTATGTATTTTACAAGCCTGCAGTATAAAATGACTGCTGAACTCTGGTTATCTCTCTGGAGAAATAAGAATTTTTTAGGTTTTTCATCATAAGGAAGGACTGATTGTTCATCCTCTTCAGAGAGGCCACATTCACCATACTATTAATACAGGTAACAGAGTTAGAATCCTTTGTCCAAAACTGTTTTGCTTCTTATCTTTTATCAACTTTTAGGGACTCATAGGGGCACAAAACTAGTTCTAAAAATGCTCTATATATTACTCTTGTTTCTGTGTCCTGATTTCTTTGGTAATGCTTTCCTTCTTAGTGCAGCCGGGTGCAAGCCAACTCCTAATATTCTGTGATTCTGTGATAATTAAAACCCAATCCATTCATTTCAGGCAGTTGAAAATACTCGGTTTGTCCTGATTGTTTATGCACTTTTATAGGACAAAGACCTGAGATTTTGGTTCGTTTCCCATTTTTCATCTTCATCTACAAATCTTGCTATTACTTAGCAATAGTTTACATTTAGACCAGATAGAAGGCAAAGCATTTCTTAGAAAAATAAGTATTTTAGTATTAGAGGAACTCCTTGTTCGGTGATCTTGTGGATGAAGAATACAGACTTTGTGTCTCAATGACTTCAGAATTCTGGATTCCTGGAAGAACCTGATCACTGTTTAGTAGCTGTGACTACAGAAAACACCTTATTGTGAAGGTTAAATTGGGGAGGAAGGATTTAGAGAATCGGCTACATTTCCAAATGCAGAACCCCAGTCCCCTTTTAGTTTATTTCAGCCATACACCTTGTTGTCTTCTGTTCAGACAGAATATATGGAGACAGCTGAGGGCAAGAGAACAGTGCTGTAGTTCTTAAATAACAATTTCTATACATCTCAATACATAATGTATATATTTTCCCAAGAAATAAAAATTCTGTGCAGCACGTGTTTTCTAGCTACGTGATTTTGTCTGGAGCCATGGCATGTGAGCACAGAATAAAAACAAACAAAGCAAGCACAAACCCATTACCCCCCAAAAAACTCAACCAGTCCCCCTGTGTTGAGTGTATTTAAGTTCACAACATCCAAAACTGCTACCAAAATCACTGGCCTGATAAATGGAATAAACAAAGCGTAATTTTTAACATTCAGAAGATTTTTTTTACACTGTTTTACTTGCTTAAAATCTCAGCATTTGCTGACATACTATAAACAGTAGCATTAAAATAGTGACCATTTCCTAGACAACCTTTTTAGCTCCCCATTTTAATAACTTCATGTCATACAGTACAACATCTACTGGAAGTATGGAGTAAGTGCTTTTAACTTCTTTTTCAAGTCTCTGAATTAAAGTAAATGCACTTTGTGCAGATAAATAAGCTGATGAAAACTAGTGTATTGCTCAGTGTCTTCTCTTTAAGTTACTACCCAGTAGTTCTGGCCGTGTTTTGAAGAAGAGATCTGTAAAATAGTGGAGCTGAAAGTACAGACAGTAACATCATCTTCTCTTCCATCTGCTGAAAGGAGCAGATGTAGCTCCGGTCGGGCTGCCTTTGGCCAGCTTTGACCCACTTACAACCAACTTCATTAACTGCCAAGCTTGCGGTTTAGTTTCATTGCAGCCAGGGATTTCATTCACAGAGCAGCTTATTCCTCAAGTACAGAGTGCTGCGAACCATTCACAGCAATTCAAGAAGAGCTGCAGCTCGTTTTTCAGTGGCCATGTGTTAAATTAGTCCATCATTAACAACGGCGGGTTTATCAAGTGAGCATGGGCACCATTGGTGCTCTGCAACACATCCGTTGAAGCACAAAGCTGCAAGTGTAAGAGGTTATGTGACTGACAGCCTTAATCACTGCAGTGGGTGCCTCCACAGTAGTTTAAACTTTGTGTGGGGTTGTGAGTGCAAGTGGTGGAGCCATCTGTTGTGTTCTCTTCAGACCTAAAAGAGGAGAGAACAACCAGAGCAACTCCAGAAGAAAAATACAACACAAAGGAGCGTGGTATTTTTAGTGCTACTTACAGCTTCCTGGTAACAACTCTTGAATTTGCTGCTTTCCTCTTTTCTAGGTACCGTAGTGAGAAGATGACGATGAGCTACACAGAATACCTTGCCCATCGTCAGCATCATCACTACCAAAATGGTATTGGGCACCCCCTTCCACCGTACAACCATTATTCCTGACACTGAGCCGCATGACCAGTCACTGGACCTCTCTGCAGACCTCTTCCCAGGAGACCCTGCCCCTTCTTGGTCTAGCTATCTCTATTACTGTACCATTTTATGATGATAGTTTCCGTTGCCGTGTTGAAGCTCCTTAGTTGGTTAAGCTCGTCACGGCAACGGGAGGGAAAACTGCATTACTACAAAGATCCCATCCTTTTTTTATTATTGAGTCACTGCAGATTTTTTTGCAGCATAGATAGCCCTTGGGTTTTTTATGAAATTTTAAATTTCTACTTCATTAACATCGAATTATATCAATCAAGGCTTTCTGTGACTGTGGATGGAAGGAAGAGTTTAAGGATTAGGGATACTTTGCTTAGCAAAAAGGCATTCATGGCTTTTGCATTAATAGGTGTGACAGGGAATGAAACATATCGGATTCAGGTATTAAACTAGACAATGAATTGCATTTTCATAACATTCTTAATAATGTTGTGTGCACAATATCTCACCCTCACAGGACAGATTTCATGTAGCTACATACATGATCTTCAGATCCAGCACATACAGCCAAAATGTCAAGGCTGACATACAAAATGCTTTTTTGGATGAAGAGAAGCAGTCACAGGTACAAGGGGAGGTGACATTAATGTGGCAGCATCTTCAGAATCAAGTGGCCTATCTGCTAGGGCCTGGCGAACTCCAGTAGGCTTCCTTTGGCTCCCAGTATGTACTGGGAACTGAAGGCAACCCAGCCCTGTCAGGACCAGTCGTAATAATGCATTTGTAATGAGATGATGCCTTTCAGATGATCACAAATTAGGAGTGACATTTGTTTTTAAAAACAGGTTGGTGAGTAGCAGATGTCCTATTAGGAAGAAAATGGATTTCGATTTTAGTGCCTTTGACTATGACATAACTATATACTTATATATAAAATTATTAGAGAAAATATAGTGAATATGCCAGACATTCTAGCAAATACCTGGAGTCTGGTGTCAGGTTTTTGGGGATTTTTTTTTTTAAAGTGAGATTTATTTTTTTTTTAAGCAAACTTACTTTGGAGAGGAAAAAATCCCTGTTTTGTTCTTTCTTCTGCTTTTGAACTTGTTGAGTTCAGTCAAGTAACGGCTAGTTAGATAAAGTTAACTATTCTTTTAAAGAGAAAAAAGATTATTGTGACAGAGCATAGGACACGTATGCCATAATTTTACGTTTTCATCTATTACAGGAACAGTACTTGAGAGCTGTAAGTACTGTGTAATAATTCTGATACCCCTCCACATGGCAGAAGAAAGAACTGATTGGACCTTCTTCCTGCTGTAAAAGTAGGATTTAGTAGAAGGTATGTGTGGTACATTTGCAAGCTCAGTACGTGGTAGGAGCGAGCTCCCTGCTCGTGTCTCTGCAGAACTCCCACCAATACCTGTTGTAGCTCAGTACATGCCATCTGTTACAGAAAAGACCTTCCTAATACGAGTGAGTAAACCACAGTATGCAGAAATTCCAGTTATTTCCAATAATGAATGTTTGTAAATATATATAAGAATTCAAATAGATAAAATCAATTAAAATGCAGTTGTTAAAAGAAATCAGGCTGATTATAAAAATGTTTCTATATGGTTTCAAAACCAGATACGGATAAATTATGCTCATCCCTTATGTGAGGTTAGCTTTGCCACTTAATTTCTATGGAGATTCTTGTAGAAGGCTTTTGGCATTCCTTCATCCACAGCATTTGATGTCCAAATATTAACCTTTTCAGTTATGATGCCTTAATTTATAAGCAGAGGGCCTGAAATTTCAGAAGCCAAGAGATGCCAGCCAGAAGCTGCAGAAACGAATAGATGTTTATACAGAGGCTATTTTGGATGATACTGTTGTCTTGTTTCTACTTGGGGAACACTTTTAAATGGATTAAGTCTTCAAGTGGAAATGGTGAACAAGTGGCTACCTGATAGAGTTGTGTTGGTTTTTTCGTGCCCTTATAGGGAAACTGAGCACAAACCGAATCATTCTGCTGCAAAAAAAACCAGAAAAAGTCATCCAACCCCATCTTTATCTGTCATCTCGTTACAGCACGCTCATGCTTCCGTGTGAGCTCCTTGTTAGACGTTTTTTAAAAAGATCTATTATATATAAAAATATATATGTATTGAAAGGTGCTAATCAACCTCAAGCAGGTCACGTGACTGGTCATGCGGATCTAAAATCATATCAGATTTTTTTAAAAAAATCTTCGATATATGCAGATGTTATACAGAATTTCTTACCAGTGTAATAATGCTATACTGATGAATAAACAATCCTGCAGGTTTTTAAGGACAAGGTCAGCAATACTTCCCACCATGGCTTGGGGGGGAAAAGGATAGTTTTGTCTCCTTTTTGTATACAGCATAATGCACAATGCATTTTTGTCTATCTCTTAGTAGCTGTTGCTTAAAAAGTATAGTTAAAAGGGTGTTATACAAACTGTAAAGGTGTGCTTTTGAAATGAGCTAATGCCAGACCCTTCTGGACCAGAGTTTTGTATCGCTAATTAAAAAACTGTTAAAGAGTCTGTGGTCAATCAGATTGTATGATATTTTTTTAAAACCAGATTGGAATAATCAGTCTATCTACAGTGCTCCTAGGGCACCTACCTCCTCAGCATGCAAGTGCTGAAAATGCTGCGGATTGTTTCTGTGTCATTGTGGGTTTCTTTGTACCAAATGTGCAGTTCACTGTGACGTGCACTGGGACAGAAAAGGTCTGCTGGCTTAAAGCTGACCAGCAGTAGCTTTCACTGATGTCATTCCCTCGTAGTTTTGTTTAGTACATTTTTAGGTGTACTGCTGGGTTTAGATGCAGATTTATCTTAGTTGTTTTTTTTAAATTGGGGTACTTTAGAAGAAGTTAAGGTACAACCAAGTAGCTTATTTCACTTTTTAAGTTGGAATGCTGATTTTTTTCTGAGCACTACTCAGTTTGCCTTACTCCACTGAAGAGATTGTTGAGTTTTTTAATTCTTTTGCTCAATGTTCCTAAAATCCCTGTTCTGTAAACTGAGTTAGACAACAAAACCATAGACTTGACATGAAACTTAGTCACGCTTCAAGTGGCCTTCCCTCTGCCCGGACTGCTGTAGCACTGACCCCACCATCTCAACCCCACCGCTGCTCGCAGCAGGGCGAGGGCACGCTCCAGTTCTGACCTCAGATATTTCCTGTTAAATCAAGGCAGGCAAATCCATTTGCACACCCTGGCGTTTGTATACGGACCTCTTGACTTGTCTTCAAATGTGCGGGTTTTTCCAATTGTCGTCTGGAGTAGGTGACATCTCTTATGTGTGTTAGATCGAACCAAAGAAGCCTCCAGCCATGCCCAAATGCTGCTCCTAAAGCCTGCCTTCCAGTCCTTACAAAAGCCCTGCAGGATGAAATGTGTTAACTTTTTTATTTTTGTACAGTTTCTAACTGATTTTTGCTAGTGATGTTAATGGAATTAAGTTTATTTGGGGAGTGTGAATATCTCCTCCATTTAAATAAACTGGTGACTTTCCTTTTATGTTAAAAAAAAAGAAAAAAGAGAAAAAAGAAAAAAAAAAAGAGAAACCCAAAGTGTGCCTCTCAGATTTCAGGGTTTCTGCTTACATTTATTCTTAAGACCAGCAATGATTCTTTATATACAAAGATATGTTTTCCTTGTTTTTTATTACTGTTAAAGAAAAATGAAAAAAGAAAAACCTCTTTCTTTGCTCTGGACCCAGTAATTGCGCTGGTACATAAACGCACTGAGAAAACAAACTTTTGTTTGAAACTTTTGTAACAAGACTGTTTTTGTATATCAAAGTTGATTCTTTTCAAGATGTTTGGATCTAGTTTCTAAGTTATTTTAGTGTTTTATATGTTACAAAAAAAAAAATACTTTAAATTGTTCACCAGCATCTTGAGTTCTCTTTACTGCAATGGTGACACAGCGGGCTCAGAGCTACCTGGAGTAGCTTGGATGGCTCCATCTTCTCCTCCCTCCTCAGTAACTTGATCAATTACAATAATATCACAGATTACCCAAACCCCCTTCCTTTATGACTAGATCCTTCTTCCTTCCACATTTAATTGCTATTAGTGTGAAGAAACTGTTGAAACGGGCATTTTAATATAAGTACGGCTTAAAAAGAGAAAAATGAGGAAAAGGCAAAAAAAACAAACCAAGAATTCTAGAAGGTTATCTGTGGGTCTGTGAGATATGGCTGTGGAAAGATATTGTAGTAGTTTTAACACTATTGTTATTACCTTTTAAATCATTTACCCAATAAAATAAGGAAAAAGAACCACCATTTCTTTTTATGTTTCTCTGCTTAATTGTGCGGCTTGGTAATTTTTTATTTCTTTATCATTTGCTCTCAGTTTGATGCCGAAGGCTAACGATGGGTTAGAAATACGGTGACTAACTCTGTCTTTCCATTTTGCCTACTGTAGGAACAGGTTCTGGGCAGGTGCGTGCAGCTTTCAGGCCAATTCAGCAGTGAGTCACTAAATCAGCATTAACATCAGTTACATCATTATTTATATCAGCGATCAGCCCAGTTTTGTACTTTTTATGCCTGACTTTAAACAGAATTTTGTCCAGGCTTGGCCTCCTCATTCTCAGAGAGTGGGAAGTGGTTTTAAACCAGAACCAGTTGTACTGGTGTAACCAATACATAGCCTACACTACTTGCAGCAACTTTATTCAGCAGAATGATGTGGCAAAATGCGGATCAAAGAATATCTTGAGGATCACTTGAAATAACTTCAGTACACTTTCTTCATATTACTCTTACAGTAGTGAGTCTCTCTGTGACTCTTAACAGTTAATACTGCAAACTGAAGTGGAAAGTCAGTTTTGGTTCTTACTTAATTTGAAGTCTTAGGCAAGACAGATGTAGTGCCTGGCATGATTAGAATGATAATCAAACTGTACAGGATCCATTAAAATGCCTTTATTTGTTTTAATTCAAAGGTTTAACAACTATTTGCCCAGTGATCTGGACTCAG